GGGCTAGCGAGATACCATTTTGTTATATCATTTTATGATTATTTTGAGAAAGTGTTGTCATCCGATTTTTATTATTATGGCTCGCTAGCTGATTATGCTATTGATATGAGTAATTGTGAGACCTAAGTGTTATTGTGAGTATGGTTAGTTCATAATATTTGCTGAAACTTGAATGCTGGCTTTTCATGTTACAACAACAAGAGCAAACAGAGTTTGTAAAAGTTTTCTTTATCACTTTCAGTTTATCAACTGAATTGCTTGAGGACAAGCAAAGGTTTAAGCTTGGGGGAGTTGATACGTCTCCAACGTATCTACTTCTCCAAACACTTTTGCCCTTGTTTTGGACTCTAAGTTGCATAATTTGAATGAAACTAACCCGGACTGACGCTGTTTTCAGAAGAACTGCCATGATGTTGTTTTATGTGGAGAAAAGAAAAGTTCTTGAAATGTCCTGAAAATCGACGGAGGCAATTTTTGGAATCTATAAGAATTACTGGGCGAAAGAAGTACACCAGGGGGCACACAGCCTGTCCACGAGACAGAGGGTGCGCCCCCTCCTCCTGGGCGCGCCCCTATCTCGTGGGCCTGCTGGACCTCCACCGACCTCAACTCCAACTCCATATATTCACGTTCGGGGTAAAAAAAATCGGAGAGAAGTTTCATCGCGTTTTACGACACGGAGCCGCCGCCAAGCCCTAATCTCTCTCGGGAGGGCTGATCTGGAGTCTGTTCGGGGCTCCGGAGAGGGGGATTCATCGCCATCGTCATCATCAACCATCCTCCATCACCAATTTCATGATGCTCATCGCCGTGCGTGAGTAATTCCATCGTAGGCTTGCTGGACGGTGATGGGTTGGATGAGATTTATCATGTAGTCAAGTTAGTTTTGTTAGGGTTTGATCCCTAGTATCCACTATGTTTTGAGATTGATGTTGCTATGACTTTACTATGCTTAATGCTTGTCACTAGGGCCCGAGTGCCATGATTTCAGATCTAAACCTATTATGTTTTCTTGAATATATGTGTGTTCTTGATCCTATCTTGCAAGTCTATAGTCACCTATTATGTGTTATGATCCGACAACCCCGAAGTGACAATAATCGGGATACTTCTCGGTGATGACCTTAGTTTGAGGAGTTCATGTATTCACTATGTGCTAATGCTTTGTTCCGGTTCTCTATTAAAAGGAGGCCTTAATATCCCTTAGTTTCCGCTAGGACCCCGCTGCCACGGGAGGGCAGGACAAAAGATGTCATGCAAGTTCTTTTCCATAAGCACGTATGACTATTTATGGAATACATGCCTACATTACATTGATGAACTGGAGCTAGTTCTATATCACCCTATGTTATAGCTATTACATGGGAAATCGCATCCGGCATAATTATCCATCACTGATCCATTGCCTACGAGCTTTTCACATATTATTCTTCGCTTATTTACTTTTCCGTTGGTATTGTTACAGTCACTACAAAACCAAAAAACATTACTCTGGCTACCGTTACCTTTATTATCATATTACTTTGCTACTAAATACTTTGCTGCAGATACTAAGTTATCCAGGTGTGGTTGAATTGATAACTCAACTGCTAATACTCAAGAATATTCTTTGGCTCCCCTTGTGTCGAATCAATAAATTGGGTTGAATACTTTACCCTCGAAAGTTGTTGCGATCCCCTACACTTGTGGGTTATCAGGGCCCCACGGGTCTCCTCCAACCTTATTTCTTTGGCTATGAATTCCCAAATATTCCCAAACGACCAGAAGTGTCCACCAGACTACTTTTCCGCCATCGTAACCTTATTTACCCATGAGATCCCATCTTGGGGCCTTTTCCGGCATCCTGTCGGAGGGGAATTCGATCACGGAGGGCTTCTACATCAACTCTATTGCCCTTCTGATGAAGCGTGAGTAGTTTACCACAGACCTACGGGTCCATAGCTAGTAGCTAGATGGCTTCTACTCTCTCTTTGATCTTCAATACAATGTTCTCCTCGATGTTCTTGGAGATCTATTCGATGTAATATTCTTTTGCGGCGTGTTTGTTGAGATCCGATGAATTATGGATTTATGATAAGTTTATCTATGAATATTTGAATATTCTCTGAATTCTTACATGCATGATTTTATATCTTTGCATTTCTCTTCGAATTATCGGTTTGGTTTGGCCAACTAGATTTGTTCTTATTGCAATGCGAGAGGTGCTTAGTTTTGGGTTCAATCTTGCGTTGTCCTCACCGAGTGACAAAGTAGGGGTAGCGAGGCACGTATTGTATTGTTGCCATCAAGGGTAAAAAGATGGGGTTTTCATCATATTGCTTGAGTTTATCCCTCTACATTATGTCATCTTACTTAAGGCGTTACTCCGTTCTTATGAACATAATACTTTAGATGCATGCTGGATAGCGGTCGATGTGTGGAGTAATAGTAGTAGATGCAGGCAGGAGTTGGTCTACTTGACACGGACGTGATGCCTATATTTCATAATCATTACCTTGGATATTTTCATAACTTTGCGCTTTTCTATCAGTTGCTCGACGGCAATTTGTTCACCCATTGTATTATTTTCTTTCAAGAGAGAAGCCTCTAGTGAAACCTATGGCCCCCAGATCTATTTTCCATCATATATTTTCAGATCTATAAAAAAAAACTCAAAAAACCTTGTCGCAATTTATTTACTTTTCTTTTGTTTTACGTTTTATTAATCTTTTATATCTTATATCTATCAGATCTCATCCTTGCAAGTGACCGTGAAGGGATTGACAACCCCTTTATCGCGTTGGGTGCAAGTGTTTGATTGTTTGTGCAAATGCATAGATTGGAGACTTGTGTGTACCTCCTACTGGATTGATACCTTGGTTCTCAAGCTGAGGGAAATACTTATCTCAAGTTTGCTGCCTCACCCTTTCCTCTTCAAGGGAAAACCAACGCAAGCTCAAGAAGTAGCAGGTGCATCGGTGCTGGCCGTGAGGTATATTGCGGATCCGCAAATTCTTGAAGCTATTGCAATCAGGGAAGGTTTGGCACTAGCGGAGGACCGCTACCAAAGGCGGATTCATGTAGCATCTAATTGCAAACTGGTGGAGGAGGATCTGAAGAAGGAGAATGTGTCATCTTATGGAGCCATTACACATGAAATAATACACCACTCTTTAGACTATGATTTTTGCAAACTTAGCTATGAATTTAGGAGCTCAAACTTTGAAGCTCACTACTTAGCGAAGCATGCTTTATCTCTATGGGTTGGACGCCGTGTGTGGTTGGGTCTCCCCGGTGATCTTCCTTTTGTCCCTGTAAACATTGTGACGACTTAATAATCTTCGTGAGGTTGTCTCAAAAGAAAACTTAAAAAGAACATAAGGTTCCCATTTCACCTTTCTTCCCACCATCCATTCATCCAACTTTCCATGTATATAATAATCAATCACCTTAATTTACTTACCTTCTGAACCAATTCCACTTTAATTTACTTACCAAACTTCTAATCAAAATATAAGGTAATTCACAGTCATAGTTTGATGAACATTTATTTACATAATCGCATTATTATTGACAGGTAAATCACAAGCTAACGTATGAGAATATTTATATCCCGTTGCAACGCATGAGCATTGTTCTAGTAAAGAGAGAGAGAGAGAGAGAGAGAGAGAGAGAGAGAGAGGGAGAGAGAGAGAGCATAGATGGGATGTAAAGTTCAAATAAAGGAAATGAATCTATTGGGGTCTTGATTCATGATTATTGGGTTAGGGGCGTGTCGTATTGTTTCCCCCCGTTGCAACGCATGAGCTTTTTTGCTAGCCATTACAAACGAATCTAACTTGCACTGGAGCTTTAATTAGTATATATGTATTACTGTAGAAACTTTGTATGGGGCTCAAGTCAACCATAAAAAATGATGTTGTTGTTGTAGTCTTTATTTTTGCACTACAGCAATAGAATAAAGCTTGTACTGGAGCTTTAGTATATATGTATTATTGTAAAAACTATGTACTCATGTTCAAGTCTACCATAAAAAATGATTATATAGAAGCAGTCTTTAATTTTTTCACTGAACAAAAGAATAAGCTCTTGTGTTGTTTTTTCTGTATCCTTTTTAGTAATATGCAATAGTTGTCACCAAAAAAACACAACACATCATTTTTCTGAAGTACTTGGACAAATTTTTTTTATATACTATCACAATTTTGTTAACACTGAACTGCAAGAAACTTGTTTTGTGTGCTTGCTTTTAAATATGTGAAAACATGGCTAATATGTTACAAACCAAACTTCTTTTTTCCCTTTTGTTTTCACTCCATTCCCACTGACTATATATTTTTCTTGGAATGTGCAGATGTTTTACAGGAGTCATAGATTACCAAGAAGCAAAAATATCTAGGGAGAAACTTATTGGTCACTTTGGAAAATAGATAGTAAGGTTTATTACTTCTAGCTGAAGTGGTATATTGTGTGCTATTTTGGAAATTTGTTAGTATTATTTTGTCAAATGGTGTGTGAAGGTTTGTGATATTGTTTTAACATGAGGTTGACTGCCCATAATGTGATTTGCCCTTTATCATACTGAAATGGGTTGAATTGATGGCTCACAAACCACGAGAAGTTTGTCTGACCAGTGAAATTTGTAAAGAATAAAAAGAGTAGAAATTTCCCGTGGCACAAAATCTAATTTATTGATATGGCCCAAATAAATTGGGCTCGTCCCATCTAAACTAGCTTTTGAGATGGCCCAAATATATTAAGCTAAATGGCCAAAATTAATTGGGTTCGTCCCATATAAACTACCCATACTGATGGGGCCACACCAGATCCTCCTTGGCATCCATGTCATGCTAGGTGCCATGTGGAAACGTGTACATATACAATGAGCGCATCCAGTGAATGGACATTGATAGGACATCTTCACACTGTGCACGCATATAGAAACTATCATAATAAGGCAAGAAGAAAGTAAAATGGATATCACAACAACATTATTATTGTTATTATTCTAAAGGTAAATACTAATTTTGGGTGAAATCCCAATATGGTGTCATCAAGGCAACATTGAGGTTGCCCAGCTTGTCGAGCTCAATGTTTTCTTTGTACAACGCCTCCCACCCAGGCATGTCAACAAGCTCATGCCCACAGTAGCCGAAAAAGGCGCATGCATTACCCACACAGTCGGGTAAATAAAAGGATAGGGGTCCATCCTTTTCACCGCCTTTGGGACCACGGTAGTCCTTGAGCATGGTGTTGCAAACATTGAGGACGGTCACCGCGGCGTCATAGTCCAGGTCGCACAAACTGAGGCGGCGTGCTGTTGATGTGCCATTCTTGACACTGTGCATAAGTTGTTTGACTTTGCCACTTGCGGCAATGATATGTCCCTTGAGGATGTCTACACCAACAAGGGCCAGGTCACGAAGGTCCTTTGCCTCATCACTCTGCTTGTCCTGTCGGAGAGTCGAGACGCAGAATTCTTCTGTGATGTGATCGTCAGATGAGTTGATTGAAGCGTTTTTGCACGCTTCAACAAGGAAATGGGTCTTCTCAGGCTTGCCACCAACGTCTTCGTTGGTCTGAGCAGTGGTGGCTAAGGAAAAGAGCATGACGATTATGGCAGAGAAGATGATGGTGGTCGTCCGTGCTATTGCCATTGCTGCAAGCTCAACTAGAAGCCTTGAATTGTATTGAAACCAAGAGTGTTGGGGATAATTGTATATGAAATGATGCTAATGGCAGACTTGGATGGATGCCTGTATAGATTGAGGTGATATGCATAGGTATTTATAAAGTTTATACAGTGGAACTTCATAAATGTATTATGCAATTTGGCGGTGGATATACAAATGATTAATGTCCACTCCATGCATAGATATGTACATATGTTGACGCTCATTTCAGATCTCCTTGTATTAATATGTTTACTACATAGTCCCATTAATGTAACATATCTTGGTCATGGATATTGGAATGATTGATGTCCATTGTATGCATATATGTATTGGTTGTTCATAAATAGCTCGATGCCCACTTTGGATATCATGTTAGTAATATATCCACTAGATAGGTCCATGAATGCAACACAACTATGCTATATGTAACCAAATGATTAATGTTTACTTGTGCACAAATATGTTGATCGTCATTTTGCATATCCTTGTATTAATGCTCTCTCTATTCACAAATATGTTGATGCTCATAAGTGATCTTCTTATATTAATACACATCTAGCTTGCATAGGTACATGAATGCAATAGCTCTCGATCATGGATATCCAAATGATATTCATAATTTTTATATAGAGGGACTTCATAAATGTAGTTTGCAGTTTGGCGGTGGATATCCAAATGATTAATGTCCTACTAGATGCATACATATGTATATATGTTGACGCTCATTTTGGATCTCCTTCTATTAATACATTTACTACATAGGCCCATCGATGCCCACTTTGAATGTCATGCTAGTAATACATCCACTAGATAAGTCCATGAATGCAACACAACTAGGCCATATGTAACCAAATGATTAATGTTTATCTGTGCACAAATATGTTGATCCTCATTTCGGATATCGTCGTATTAATGCTCTCTCTATTACCAAATACGTTGATGCTAATTTTTGATCTTCTTATATTAATACATATCTAACTTGCATATGTACGTGAATACAACACCTCTTGATCATGAAAATCCAAATGATTATTGGTCACTAGTCATCAACCATGCCAATATTCAAACAATCAATGTGAACCACACACACAAATCTTCGTATGAAGTGATATTAGTTTTTCTTATTACCATTTAATAGTACAACTAAAAATCATTGTAAAAAGGAATAACATAAAAGGAAAAAAGATTACGCCATTAACATATTGGAAAGTACCCGGGGCCTAGTGAAGCAAGCCCACTTATTTTTCCTGCCCATGCAACAGGGAAAACCCTATTTGCGACATATGGTAGCAAATAGTCGGAGCTTCATATTTTTCTTTTTCTGTTCCTTTCTCAATTTCTTTCCTCTTTCTTTTTTCCCTTCCAAGTTCATTTTTCTTTTTTCCATATATTCAAGATTTTCAAAAATATTCAAAATTTTAATATTTTGTTCAAATGTTTTAAAATTCTTAAAAATTATACATTTTTTCCCATTTTAAAAAATGTTCGAAACTTAAAATTTTTGTTGACATTCCATAGAATTTTTTTAAAAAAATTCCCCTAGTTTTTCAAAAATTATTGTGTTTTCCAAAATACATCGAGATTTTTTAAAAAAATGCACTTTTAAAAGGTTTCACATTCTAAAAAATTCTTGTTTTAATGAAATGTTCACACATTCAAGGTAAAGTATTTTAAATAGTCCCATGTTGCTCGAAAAATACCAACGGTGGCTGCGATATAGGCAGGCCGGAATCCTGCCCACCGAACCACCACGGGGATCTGCGCCACCAGAGAGGCCCCACGCATGTGCAAAGGCAGACGTGCCCGTGACATGTACGCACTGCTGTGCGAGCTATACACTTGTGCGTCCTTGTGCGTGGACACTCTTTACGCTCGTGTGCATGCATGCCATTGCCGCGGAGGATCGTTAGTCAGCGGAGACCACTAGCTGGTCAAGTGTGGACGTGGAGCACTGGCGGCCAGCGAACACGCATGTTCGTTCACCATTAGCTCTCCACGAACTAACCAAGTTTAATTTGTTTGATGTTAATTCGTCTGTCCGTTTTGACTAGCAAATGCAGCACAGTTACACTGTCGTTTGTGTTTAAAAACCATTACCACTAAACTTGGACTTGTGCTTTATCTATTTTACACGCTAGAAATTCGGAACAGCTTAGCCAAATGTGCGTGCTAATGATGAATGCGATAAATCTAGCAGTTTTAGGAGCTGTTCGGTAATTCACCGGCTCCACGAAATCACAAAAATTATGGAGCAGATATTTCCTCGCTCCACGATTTTCAACTACAACTCCGCTTGCTCTGAAAGAAAGTTGGGGTTCGTGCCTCCCGTCGGTGCTAGCGCAGGTCTGCCTCCTCTCCGGTGGCACTAGGGCCATGGAGGCGCGGTTGATCCTGGCAAGGGCCGACGGGAAGGCTCCATTTTTGCTTGTGTTTTTCAATCTTACTAGGGTTTGTGTCCTGTTGAGGAAGGCGAGACGGTGGCGGTTACCTGAAAATGGAATAAAGGTCTCCCCACCTAGCCACCGTTCCGGCGATGCATCTATGTGACACTCCAAAACAAATTTATTTGGTTTTTAGCAAAAACTTTGTTGGATTTGAAGAAGGCCATTTAAATTCTTCCAAAAACCTCTCTCTCAAAACTTTTCCCCTTGGCAAGGATTTTTATTTTTGATATCTTCTTCAACCCTGGTGTTTGGTTATTAAAAACCTTCTTCTGATTGTCCCCTTCTCAAATTTTTCTTTGGGGTTTATTTTCTTTTAAAAAGAAACCCTAGGAGTTTTGGGACTTCTCTTACATTGAGACCATCCATGGTTTTACCATGCCTCATTTGGTAAATCTTCCCAAAACCCCTCCTTCCACTTTGGGGCAATCCAAATATTCTGTTCCAACAAGTTCAACTCATTTTTGGATTTTATTCCATTTGTTTTTCCCCAAATCAAATCTGTCATTTATTTTAAGCCTAGACGATTTACAATTGCCTTTGAGTTTTGATCTCAAACCAACTCCTCTGGATAGTCCTTAGCACCCACAACCTAGAATCATCAAGATCCACTCTTCCTCTTTTCAAAATTTTCAAATTTCAGCTTCTCCAAATTTGGACCAGATTTGTCAAATTTGGTGAAATTCATATCTCCTCTTCTCCAAAAATTCTACCAAAATTCAGGCAGCCCCCAGATGCAATGAGAGGCCACCCCACCAAAGATCAGCTCAAGGAAAATTTCCCACATGCCAAAATCATTTCGTCGAGCACTTGGCCGGCACTGTTACTCTGCACTTTCAGAAAAGTTCAGAGTTCAGAGTTATCTTCAGTGTCGTTTTCGTCAGTGACTTGTCACCGATCACCCGTGGACCCTGGCGCATTGCGCACGGCCCCTTCTCCCTGGACAGAGCACCGCACGCCCTCTTGGATGGACGCAGGTGTCGGTGGCGGCGAGCATCGCCGACGCCGGCAGCTTCTGCGGTGGCAGAGCCACCCGTGGCGGCCAACGGAGCCAGCAACGGCTCGCTACGCCGTTCTGCGCCGCCCAACGCTCCCTAGCTCTCCGCATGGCTCATGCATGCCAGCGCACCCCCGCAGCACTGTCGCCGTGGCCTGGCAAGCACAGGGCGCGCCCTCTGCCGCCGACGGGCCCGCGCCGCCCCATTTCGTCGAAACCCACCCAAAACACCTAATCCGAACTTGTTTAGCGCCTAAACGGGACCAGTGGATCTCCACGTTGACGCTCAACCCCCTAAACTTCCCCGACCAAGCTCTGCGCCTCCGTAACCATCACCGGAGAACTCCGTTCACGGCCACCGCCTCGGATCGCCTATAAAAAGGGGCCCCGAGTTCGCTCTCGAGCACGCACCACCACTGCACCTCACCGACACTCCGCCAGGCCACTAGGAGGACCTCGAGGAGGTCTCCTCCCCCAACTCCGGCCGCCCCGATCCGCCTCGGCCACCATCTTGATTCACTCTGGTGAGGCCCTCCCCGACGCCCAAACCTCGTCAGCGATCTCCTCGAACACCCAGAGAGCTAACCTCAGCTTCAATTTGATCTCCGCAGCACTCCCCCGACGAGATCCAACTCCACCCGAGCCGCCGTCCGCCGGAGCAAGGGTCGCCGTCGACGTGGTGCTCGCCGACTACTACCACCACCACCCACCGACGCGGAAGGACACGCTGAGCTCGAAGGTACCACCCGATCCCCCTGCCTCGCCGTGGATCACCGCCGGCGAGCACCGCAGCTCTCGGGCGCCGACGAGCTCTGTTCTCTCCGTTTGAATTTTCAAACCTAACAGGAGGGACACGCCTGTCAGCCTCTCTATTCTGTTTTTTTCGAATCGTTTTCTGAAAACGTAATCGGGTAAGTACGCCTTCAGTCTGAAACGTTTTCTGGTCTTTTTTTGTTCAACCCCCTGGGAAGTTTCTGTTTCATTACAGAAAGGTCCCTGAATTAAAACCCTTATAACTTTTAAACAGAGAAGGATTTTTGTTTGATTATTTTTCTGTCCTCTTTAAAATTTTATCTAGTTTTTTATCAGATTTATTTGAAAAATATTTGGCATACTTTTGTCTACCTCACGGTATTTACGATAGTGCGTGTATTTCTGTATACCGTAGATACCGAAGGAGGTGACGGAACCGCGAACTTCACCGAGCTAGGCTCCGACTACTCCGAACCAGGCAAGCTTGTTTCAACTTTTGATATGATGAGTGTCTTGGCATTGTTTGCATTGAATAGTTTCATGACATGTTTATGAGCATCTTGATGAAAGTCATATTACATGCACAGATGAGGCAAGTGAGTTTCGAAAATCCATGAGTTGTTGGATATGAGATTGCATGGCCATGTGATGGCATGAGGATGGGTAAGATGGCAGTGATGTAGCATGCTAGTCTTATGCCAGACTATTTGACTCAAGTGTCAAATGATTCAGTCCAGTTTCCATCCGTTTTCCCTTCCTGTACTACCACATGTTTTTCCGCAAGGGATATG